TTTTTGCTAAACATATTCGATACTGTTGCTGCCGTGCTGTTGTAATAAGCCGCTCAATTTTTACCGCCGTTGTTCACAACCCAAAATGTAGCTGTAGCATTTTTCACAAATCTTCAATAAAGTTGTGCAAAAAAAAAAAGAAGAAAAAAGAGAGAAAAAGAATAAAAATTTCTGAGATAGAAAGAAAGAAGCGCAAAAGAGAAAAAAAAAAAGAAATTTCAAGCCAAATGTTTCTTTATTGTACTTTCTTTTTTTTTCTTACATTTATCAAAAGACAACAAATGAGTATACGGCAAAACCTCTGTACAGACACTGATAGAAACTTAATACTCTTTAATTACAAAAACAATTAAAGACATTAACAATTTTTTAAAATAATATAATTTTCTTTATTTTTGTTTTTTCTTAAGTTTCAAAACCTTTCAACAGTCATTTCAAATGAACAAAAATTAATTCACACTCTGTTAAATCACTTTTTTAGCAAAGAGTCATTAACCACTAAGCGCAAACCAACAGAGAATAAGAAAAGTTGGAAGAAAGTTACAGGAAATGTATACACAAATATAAGTAAAAGGTAATGACATTCCTTTATTGTATTAAGGCATAAAAACTAATAATTAACTGCGAAATATAGATAATAAAATTATTAGTCGAAATTTTGGAACATAAATATTGTTCCAATAAAATTCTAATTCTTTCATCAGAGAAAATTATGATATTGGTTAATACAACAGTAAAATACATTTACTTTCAATAAATAAATATATATTTATATTTATATAGACAACACAGCCGAAGACTTTCAGCAATTATAAACGACTGAGCACTAAAGCTGCTTTCTGGTACACAACCCTCGTGGCCAAACCTATACAGCAGCAAACCCACCTGTTAGCAACAATATCAAAGTGGTCTGCTGCAGTATCATTTCACTTGCCGGATTAGTGCTGCATTTAATCGCTGTGACAATTAGCAGAATTTATGAAAAGTAAGCGATCCTCCTCCACTGTCACCAAAGATGATGCCAAAACCCATATAACTGAGGCTGTTGGTTACACCGCATTTTTATCCTCACGGTATAACGATGACTTGTCTTCGACACAAAAACTACATTTTTTTCTCTTGTATAATACCTAGATTTATGCAGTAACAGTTTCTGTAAAAACCAGCATAGCTTTTTCAAGCAACTTTTTTAAGTAGTACTGTAGCTGAACAACGCGACAGTAAATTTCTGATTCTTGCTGTCTGTCAGAAATAAATTATTGGACATCTTTTTCTGGATTAACAGCAAATAAACCATTCTATTCACTTGCTTTTGTTGTATTCGATGACTGTAAAGTTGTACATAACTTCTCGTTCTTTACTTATCATTATGTATTCCTTTAAACGTACACGTCAACAGAAACCCTTCAAAAAATGACAAACAACTTTCAAAAAACTGCAGCTTTTAAAATGTATGTAAAACTTGTTTTCTTAATGTACTTTACTACATGGCGTACTTCATCCTTGTCTGTTTCATAAAATTCAGACAAAGAAAATGATACTCCCTTCACAATATGATAAACATTAAAAAAAGTAACTAGAACATAAGTAAGACTAAATTTTTACAAAAACTTGTGCTGTTTTTTTCCAAATCATAGAGTCTGAATTTACTTTTCCAGAAAAATTTAGTTCACTGTGGCTCAGTCAGAGCAGATATACCCTAGCTTTCCTGCTAAATTTATTACTGGCGCGACTACTTAGTTGTGCTTACTGACGGAAAATGGCGTCGTTTTTAAATGGCTATAAAATTCATATTTTTTGTGACACTTTCAGGACGAAATGTTTAAGGAATGTAAGAAAACTTGGAATGTCCAAGTTACGATGTTTATCTATTATTTGAAAGAACATATTGATTGTTCACATAAAACATTCTCATAAGTTTGAATATTTGACATGTACTTCGATTAACTTCGAAGAGTATCAGCTTTTTTTTTTGATAACGGGATCTTGCCCCTGGTTGAAAGGACTACTTAATCCTTCTTTGCAACGGGAGTTTTAAAAAAATATTGCCTTGTAGAAGTTTGAGCGAAGCGCGGCATTAACTTATAGGAAGACTTAATAACGACCATAATAAAAAGAGCGAAACATAAATACACGAAAAAAAAATCAGAAGAAAGAGTTGTGGTCAGGTACTCCCCCAAAAAATTTAATTAAAGGCTTTGATCGGATGGACACAAAAGACGAAGTCATTGGATAAACAAACATCCGAAGCAAAACCAAAACTTTTTGACTACTCGTGAACTGCTTCCACTTGCCAGCACCTGACTCGATGTAAAAAAACAGCTCAAAAACTGCTATGTTACTTCACTAAAATTAAGTAGAAAGCCGCTCCACACGAGTAATTAAAATTAAATAAAGTTCAAGTCAGAAAAACCGTGGAAGGAGCGACACATGTTGAACTTCAACAAAGACTACAGACAAGAAAGCGACAAAAATTTTACCAGATTGTCTTCTGAAACCTCGTAATAAATGAAACTCCGCAAATCTTTCATTTCGTTTCAAAAACTGACGGACAACTGATATATACTTATCAAAATGTTTTACCATTTGGTCACTTAAGTTTCTTATCAATTGACCATTTAAAGACAGTCTTCTTCTTCATTGTTTTTAAAGAAGAATCGTTTACCAGGTACATGCTCAAATCCCAGAAAGGCTACTGTTTTGAAGACCCTTAGTGCCGCTTCATCGATTGATTTTTCTGCGATTCCAAATAGAAGAAATAGAAGAAACATTACGGTTTGATAAGCGATAATTTTTAACACTCCTCTCTCCGTTTCTCCCACCGCGCCTCAGTTACTGCTGTAACATCAATTTAAAATTCCACCATACAATTCAGCAACAAACTAGTATCAAATTTTAGCTGTAAAATGAAGTCGCTGCACTACCGTCACCAGTCCCGAATCCAGTTTACTATACGTTAAATCACTATTAAATAAAGCAACTTTAAAATACTATCTCACATCTCCAAACAGCCACTCTCAGTCATTTTATTTCTCTTTATCTAACTGTCGAGAAATTCTTCAATTTTTTTTAAGCAGAAAACAAGTAACTGCAGCATAAGCGAAAGGAACACTTGAATAACATCCAAAAAACTTTGCTCTATTTCTCTTTCCAGTCCGTTACTGTGAAAGAACTTTCAGTTTTTCAATCCCTCTACAAATAGTAATTGAGAGAATAGTGAGTAAGTACTCCAAAATATAAAATTTTTTAAATTCAGCTTGCAAAAAAATCCCAAAAGACCCTTCTGAAGGTAAAATAAAAAACAATCTATAACAAAAATTTACCAACAAAAAAGCTTTGGAAAAAATCCGATTTTCAACTTACACAATACACGTAAAACACAAACAGCTGAAATCATAGAAAATAAATTAACCTGACAAATGAGCATAACACAACAAAACAAAAAACAACAGAAATTTCAACAAATACCTATCAACAGTGTAAACCATAAAACGATATCTTAGGCCTAATAAGTAAAGGCAAAATATATCTGTAAATCACTATAGAATACAGCATTGAATAAATAAATTAATGATAAACCTTTTCTCAAAAACCTTTTGATACGTCATTCAGAGGTATCCTACATTGCTCATTTTTCCTAAACCCTTTGAAAAAACACTCCTATAAAGGCAAATGAGAAAACATAAATAAATTAAGTGATCGAATTGTGGACAAAATATTTTACTCAAGAGTTGAGTCTTGAAAACAAAGAAGCACAACCAATCGTAAAAATTCTTACCTTTCACAGTGCTGAAAACGTCTAAATATCTTTGTAAATCAATGTAATATTAATAATTACTACGGTATTCGCCGGAAGTAAAGAAACTCAAAGTTCAGTTTTTTCATCCTTAGCTTTATCTTGGAATGACTTCACAGCATGTTTCTTCAAAAACTTCGTTAAATCATCGATATTACGGTCACCAGTATATTTAACTGGGGCATCTTTCTTGCCAGAAGGAGCAAAGTATATCGTCGGAAATCCCTCAACAGTGTAATTAGGAGGAACGTCATTTGCCGTTGCATCAAATTTCGCCACAATTAAATTTGGTTGTTCTGTTTTTAGCTTTGCAGCCAGTTGCTTGTATTTTGGTTCAAAAGCCTGTAATTTTAACAATCTACAAATTTCAGTAAACAGACAAACCTTAAATGTAAATAGTTTTCCTTCATTACTAAAATTACAAAAAAATCTACATCTCTAAATCCCTATATTTTATTTTATTTTCCTCGCTGTACCCAAAGAAGTGCTGGAACTGTGTTACCTTGCAGTGACCACACCATGGTGCATAGAATTCTATTAAGACATCTTTAGATTCATCAGCAAGAATCTTGGCAACATTAGCAGAAACCAAAGTTTTAACTGGGCCTTTATCATCTTTTGGTATCGGTTGTGACTTAACGTACGGCTTCGCTTGACCTCAAAATACAAAAGGCAAATGGCAAGCCGGTATCAACTAGAAAAATAAAGACCGAAAACTATGCCTGATGCATACCACTTGATATTTTTTTCATAAAACCGGACAGGTTCTCGTCTAAATCACCATCAAATTCTTCAGGATCCATAGGATACTTTTTACCATCGAATCCAAATACGATGACGTTATGTTCCAGACCGCTATCGCCAAGACCAACCTTCAAAGAACTAATGAAGCAGAGTTTTTAAAATTATTAGAAATGAAACACTGTGATCCAAAAAAAAATTAGGAAGCAAAATACAATCTGGTAAGATCGAAGCGGGAAATACTACACTGTTTAAATTACAGCATTATCAATGAAACACGCAACTAAAATGTGTATTAAACAATAGGTGAAAGCGATACCTCAGCCAGTTCCTTCTCAAATTCTTCTTCATCAGCAACAGCAAACCGATACTTGTCCTTCTTATACTTATTAGCAATATCCAGTACCTGAAGTGAACAAACAAAATTAAAAAGAAATAAAGCTCTAACTTAAAATCCTGCATGAGCATTGACAACCTTATTTCTCCAGTACTGAGTGCCGTCTCTATATTCCTTCGAGAAATCAACATTGTAATACACAACAACAAGAGGATATTTTGAATAGCGATTTGCAGCATTTTTCCTTGTCATTTGTCCAACAAGTGGTGCTGCATTTTCCCTCCAAAAAGTTAACAAGTCTTCAGCAGACGAATCTCCCTGAAAGTTACAACATCTTTAGAAAGAAAAATTTTAAATAAATTTTAAAAAAGCAAGGTCAAGTTTGCCTGTTTCTATTCACAAGCCACTGTTTACCTTAGAATACACAGTTCGTTTCGGCTCATACTTGCTCCAGAAGACTTCGGGGTAGAAAATAATAATATCTTTTGACTTTGCTTGAAAATGTTTTATAGTTTCAGGATCCATGGTATATCCAACCTTGAATTCCTCACGAGTCATTTCGGCTGTAGCAAGTAATTAGCAATAATTTCAACAGAAATGATAGAACTAAACAGAAAAACCAAAAAGGCCTCAATCAATTAAATTACTACCTGCATCGCTAAAGGCTTCAAACAGTTTAGAATCATCACTGGTAAAGAAACCAACAATTGTTATGTCTTGCTTCTGCATATAACGATGAACTTCTTTAACACTACTTAACTTCTTTGCCGCCGGAGCAGACTGTTCAATCATATATCTAACAATACCTTAAAATAGGTTTAAAAATCAAAAACTAACGCAGGAACTTCAACTTCGAAAAAATTGTAGATAATATTACTTAACCCAGAGATAAACTAATCAATACCATCGGCATCTCTCGGTCCGTTGTAATCAAATCTCTTTCCATATCGCAATATTTTCAGCGTCGGGAATCCGGAAACACCGAATTGATCAGCGAGAGTTTTTTCAGATGTTGCGTCTACCTTTACCAGAGCTATTTCGCGACCTTGTGCCTAAAATTGAGGATAAAAAGATGTTCATAGTCAGCACGAAAATGTTAGCCTAATTTCGGGCACTACCACAAAAGTGTCAAAACTACAAGCAAAAGAAAAACTGCTACCGCTTGAATGACCCACAATTAAAACGTTAAAATAAAAAGTAGATATGGTAACTAAAAGATGTAATCATTTACAAAAAACGGAAAATATTGAAAAGCAAAGAAAGATGTCTAAAAATAAGTGTCATAAAACTTGAACGAAAAACGACAAACGTTAATTCGAAATTAGAGACAAAGACGCGCTACGTTTTTACCCTAAGAACAGAATGATAACCTTGAGACGTTTAGCTGCTTTTTCATATTCTGGTGCCAACTGCTTGCAGTGTCCACACCATGGAGCATAAAATTCGGCAAGGACCAGCGGTCGAGAAGATACAAATTCATCAAAGGTTTCTTTTGTTAGAGAAACTACTTCCTCTGGTGGCGGTTTGTAATCGGGATCCGTTCTTTTTCTGACGAATTCAATAATGCCTAAAAAAATATTAGGTAATTTCGTAACTACGACAATGAGGCCTTTTAAAACTAAAAAGCGTACTTTCAGCATCTCTGCCACCATCGTAATCTACAGGGTCTTTCGAATTATGCCAGAACTTCACAGTGGGATAGCCTTTTATATCAAACCTTAAAATAATATGCATAGACGAATAAAGAACCATAAAATACCTCAAGAAGCAAAGCAGTATGGCAAAAATACCTTTTTGCAGTCTCCGTTTCTACAGTAGCATCAACCTTTGCCAATGGAATAGAAACCTCCTTCGCTGCTTTAACATATTCCGGCGCTAATGCTTTGCAGTGTCCACACCTAGATTATTAAACATTTTTCCAAAGAATGGAAGATTTTACTACCGTTCCGTCACAAAACTTTCCAAATTTCCACTTTTAAAAGGCAATAAATTTTTGGTGTTCACTTTTTAACAACTTTCCAAATAAATGTACATGACAGCTTTAAAAGTACACTACAGATTAAATTTAAAAGAGTCCTTATCAGATAGTTATTATCGCGTCCAACAAAAGATTGAAGGTTGACAAGCCAAGAAAATGAACAAAAGAGTTAAACTTACCACGGAGCATAGAATTTTACCATTACTGTTGGATTTTTCTTCATATAATCATCAAAATTCTTATCAGTCAAGATGACAACACCTTCATCCATTTCATATTCCACCTCAACATCATCTTCCTCTTCCGGGGCTTCCTTTTTTGGCTCATCGCATAGCACCAGAGCAAATAAACAAAATGGCACAAACCACCTTAGAAGCATTAATCTAAAATAATACTTTTGAATGTACCAAAAATCCACTACAACAGAAAGTTTTGAACCAACGCATGAATAGAAAAA